GGGCGCGGAGACTGGCCTGGGGGCGTGGCTAGGGGCCGGTTCCCGTGGGAGTGGAGGGGCGGGTGTTAGGGTGCGCCGGGGGCGTGGCTAGCGGCGGGTCCCTGCTGGAGGTGGGGTGAGAATCGCTGGGGGGTGGGCCTGGTCGTGCCACTTATGGGGTACAACTTGGGTGACAGGCGCCTGGGGTGGCCCAGACTTTAGGGTGGGCTTAGACTTAGTTGGAGGTGTGTGGTCTGTACCTGGAATGCGCTTGGGGGATGTCAGGGTGCAGGCTTGGGGAGAGAACTAGCGAGGAGCAGAATCTGCCTGGGGGTTCAGCTGAAGATGGGAACCCTGGGGGCAACAGAGGCTGGTATACCAAAGGTGGTAGCTGCCAGGCCAGCAGATGGAGAAGAGAGGAGGCGCCTCTGTCCTGAGGGCAGGAATAAAATAGGGGTGTGGGAGGGGTGTGTGAACCCAGGGGCCATGGGGAGTGCCTGGACATCCTGGCCATTGCTGGTTCAGCTCAGTGCTGAGTGCATGCACGCTGGGATCAAACCTGTGCCACTTTCCAGCCTGAACATTCTCTGAGCTTTAGTTTCTTTATCTGTTGGATGAAACCACAGCAATTTACTTCATATGCTTGTTGAGAATTATTTTTATTCTAAAAATTTATTTATTTATGCATACAGTGTTGGGGTACAGGCCAGAGGTGCAGGGGCGGTGAGAGGATTCACCAGAGACAGAGTGGGGAACATGCAGATTGACGAAGTACACTGCTGAGGGGAGCACCGGGTGAGACAGGAGAGGTCTGCTGTGCCATGGGGGTCACTTCCGGGACCGGGGATTGAACTCGCACTGAAGCAGCTGTGGCCAGCTTTGCAGTGCTGTGCTTTAACCTTCTGCACCACCACGGAGAGCCGAGAATTATTTGTAAGACAGCTGGAGCAGTGCAGTATAAGCTAAATGAGCAAAATGCAAAACTCTGCCTGAGCAGCAGTTTCCCAAAGGAAAGGCAGCCTTTTCTCCTGGACAGGCCTGGACTCCCTCCGGCCACAGTTCCCCAGAGGGTATCTTCTTGGCCACCATCTCCTCCACCCCACATGTTCTCCAGATGCCCAGCCAGGCTGCCCTCCCCTCACCCTCACTGCAGGGCAAGCTGAAAAGCCAGAGATGTAGGCTTGGCAGGGGAGTTAACCAGTTGCCAGGCATGCTCGGGGCTGAGGGGCACGAGCCCATCTTTGAAAAGGAGGCTGAAGAGAGCCCAGCCTTTTGTCGCTGGACACAGCAAATGAATGGCAGGGTTAACGTGGGTCAGGAGTGTCTTCTTTGAGGGAGAGCACCAGGATCCCACACCTGGTGGCTGCTAGAGGGTGCTCCTGGAGGAGGTGTAAGAATCTCTTGGGCAGCAGAGCCCACAGGTGGCTGCAGGGGGTGGCAGGGAGATTCTGGGTATACTGGCAGAAAAAGCGGGGAGGAGGAAAGAAAGCTCCAAGAGACTTTGAAGGAGGGAAACCGCATCCTGGGGGTCTTCTGTGCCCCTCTGGACATGACCCAGTCTCTTCTGCAACCCTTCAACAGCCACAGCAGTTCCTGAGCTCAGAGAGGTTAAGTGGCCTACCAAGGTCACCCCGCACGGTGGTGGCAGAGCTAAAGCCCAAAGCCCTTTGGCACCCTGCGGACCTGCCTCTCATGCGCCACACGGGGAGGGACTCTGTGGCATCGGTGGGCAGGGCCTAGGGCTGGCTCCGGGGTTTCCCTTGGGGAGTGGAGCCTTGTGAAACCTGTGCCTCCTCCACCCCAACCCTCACCCCCGTAGCGGGTCATCAGGAGCCGCAGCCAGTCCATGGATGCCATGGGGCTAAGCAACAAGAAGCCCAACACCGTGTCCACCAGCCACAGTGGGAGCTTCACGCCCAACAACCCTGACCTGGCCAAGGCGGCTGGAATAGTGAGTGCCTCCCCCGCTCTCCCTCCTCCCCCGGGCCCTCAGCTCCCCTGTCTCCAAGGCCTGGCCCCATCTCCCTCCCTGTGCTGTCCCAGTGCCCATCCTGGGCTCTCAACTCGGCCCAGCCACTGCTGTCCTGGGGGTGGAGCGCCCCCCCACAGCGCTAGCGCACTGGGGGCCTGTACCTGGTCCTTGTACGCCCCTCCTCCCAGGCCCTCATTCAGGTGTGACTTTGTGTGGGGTGACTGGGGCAGCTTCTAGATCCCGTTTCTTATTGAACACCTGTTGTCTATCGTGTGTCTGGAATCAGGCTGCTACGTGGGCCCTCTTGTCAAGCCTTGGGTTTCTGGGAGCACCTACTGTGTGTCAGCGTGGGCACGCACTGTGTGTCGGGACCTGGGTTTCTGTGTGACCGCCTGCTGTGTGTTTGGCTCTGAGATGCTGGTCGGCACCTATCGTGTGTCAGGACTGGGGCTGCTGTGTGAGCACCTACTGTGTGTAGAACCTGGTTGCTGTATGGACATGTACACTGTGAGCATCGACTGCAGGCCTGGCCCGAGTCTGTGAGCGCCTACTGTGTCAGGTCCTGGGCTGCTGTGTGAACATCAACTCCGTAAATGCCCGTGGTGTGCCCAGCTCTGGGTTGCCGTGTGAGAACCTACTGTGTGTCAGGAGGTGGACTCTGAGTGAGCACCTAATGTGTGCTAAACTCCGGTTATCAGTGAGCACTTAACCACGTGTCAGGAAGTGCTGTGAGCACCTCCTACTACGCGCCTGGCCGCCGCTGCTGCGTGAGCACCTACTGCGTGCCAGGGCCTCTGTGACTGTGGCTCTCTACTGTGTGTCAGGACCTGTGTGAACACCTGAGTGAGCACCTCCTGTGTGATGACTTACTGTCTGCCAGGCTCTGTGGGGGTGTGCTGCTGCTCCTCGGGGCTACTAGGCCTTCCATTGTGGGCCTACTGCTCCCCTCCGCCTAGTGGCCACCCCTGGCACTGCACTCACAGCTCTGCTTTCCCCTTCCACCCGTCACCTGTCCCCATCCACCCGTCATCACCCATCCGATCACCCTCCCTCCATCCTGTGAACTGTTTGCTGTGTGCCAAGCCCTGTGCTTAATGCTGTGTCACGTGGCAGGAGGGACCCCGCCCCGCCCCCCTAACCCAGGGTCTGGCCTGGCCAGGGGGACAAGGCAGAGCCCCTGCTGGCCAGCAGTCACCAAACCCCACTGTCACGGGAGAAGCAGGCCTACCCGCTGCCCCCCGGCCCAGATTTCCCTGCCCACCCCCCTCCGCCCCCACCCAGTCCCACTGGAGTGGCCCAGCCTCCTGTGGGTGGCACAGAGGGGCCCCGGGGACAGGGCCAGGCCAGCGGCACCCACCATGGCAGTAACCAGATCCATTTCTGTTTTTGTTTTTGCTCAATTCTCCCTTTTCCTCTCGTCGCTTCCTTTTCCTGCCCTCGCATCTCCTGTCCCGCCTCCCTCTCTCCTCTCCTCTCCCTCTTTTCCGCCCCTCCTTCTCCGCTACTCTCTCCCTGGCCTCTGTTCTTCTCTGCCTCCCTCCCCGGGGTGTCTCCCTGCCCTCCCACCTCTGTGTCTGTCGGTCTGTCCTTCACGCTGTGCCCTGGGTCCCGGGGTGACCCCGCCCCCTTTCCGGCCCTCCCCTCGCCCTCTGCGCCCGCCTCTCCTTCCCGCACTGTCTCTCCCACCCTCGCCATCTCCCTTGCTGTCCTCGCTGTCCTCGCCCGCCGCTGCTGGCCAGTCATTGCTTATTCCCGGGAAAAGCGCGAGTAGATTCGGACGCCGGGGCAGTGCCATAGGCATAGGAACCGTGGAAGAGGTTGTCGCCCGCGGGGCCGCCAGCTCTGGAGGCTGCCTGCACGCGCTGTTCTCTGCTCGCTCTCAGGACGGAGGCCATATTGGGGACGTTGCCCTCCCCCCCGGGACAGGTCCAGGGGCGTGGGGGGGTGCCGGCAACCCTGGTGGCACTTGGCACCTCTCTGGGGCCGGGCAGCTGTGCCGGAGCCAGGGGCCTCCACGGAGGCTTCTGGTCCTGCGCCGGCCCCAGGGACCTTGACCCATGCCCTGCCAGGATCTGGTACCCAAAGACCCCAAACCCGGCCGCACGTCCCCCAATATCGCCGGGCCTGCATGGAGTGCCGTTCCCCTCTTCTGCCCTGACCCGCCGGGCACTGGCCCCGCCGTCCCTTCTGCCCCACTCCTCCCGGGGCCCACCTTCCTGTCTCCCCAGAGAGGTTGGGGGCCTGCTTCTGGGGCCCGGGCAGCCATCATGGTACGTGAGGATACTGGGGGTCTCTTTCAACTGCTGGGCCAGAACCTCCCCCGGCCGAGGTGGCCATCCCGCGGGCAGGGGCCCGGTTGCCGTGCCCAGTGCCACTGCCCTGCGGCGCATGTGCTGGGGCAGAGGCGGGGAGCTACTCTGGACCTGGCTTCCTCCTACCCAGCCCCGAGTGCTCCCCAACCCCTCAGACCCGCCCCGCCATGGGGCCTCAGGAGGCCTGGCTGCGGGCACATCTCCCTGCCGGGTGACACTCTCTCTTTTCTTGCTCATCGCCTCTGCTTCAGGGTCTGGGCAGGATGGCGGGGGGCGCTGGGGTCCCAGGGCAGGTGGGCACTGAGCTGGGCCTCTCCCCTCAGTCACTGATTGTCCCTGGGAAGAGCCCCACGAGGAAGAAGTCGGGGCCATTCGGGTCACGCCGCAGCAGCGCCATTGGCATCGAGAACATACAGGAGGTGCAGGAGAAGAGGTGGGTAAGTGGGCTGGGGGCGCAGGCCCCTGCGCCCCCACTCGGCTCTTCTCTGACTCCCATTCAGTGGCAAAGCAAAGCCGGCCGGCGACGTGCCCACCCTCTGCCCCTCCGCTTCCCTCTGGTGACCGCTGCCGTTGCCAGGCCCCAGGGCCAGCTCAGCCCTGACCTGAAAGGCTTTCATCTACTCAGCAGTTCTGCTGGCTCCTGGGTCGGACCCAGAACATCTGGAAGCTGGAGGTCAGGGGTCTGGGGCTCGGCCCTGTCTGCCAGGATCTGTGCTCACGCTCTTCTCACTACCTAGTGTGAGGCAGTGTGCGGAATAAGCCCCCCGCAGGCTGGTGTGGGGTGCCGGGGTTATCTTCCTGGGCAGGGTGTGAGCAGCCGCGGGGCCACAGGGCCACCCCAGGAGAGCAGAGGGTAGTTTCTGGGTGTGGATCCTGTCACCACGTGCGAGTTGGGAATGTCACTGCACCTCTCTGAGCTTCATGTCCTGATCTGAAAAGTGGGACTAAGAGTGTGGTCTGGGGCTGCTGCAAGGGTATGATGGTTTGGAGCAGGTTTAGGCGCCCTGGGAAGGCCTCAGGCGTGGCACTGGTGCCATCTACATGGCCATGACATCCCAGAATCCAAGAATGCTGGGTCCAGGCTTTGCCTTTGCCAAGTCTTAACCTGTGCATTCTGGACAGGTTCCTTCTCATCTCTGACTCATTTCCTTACCCATGCCAGGAGGCAGTTATACCCCCCCACCATGGGGAGGAGGCCAGGGGGTGTCTTATAAAGACCCCACTCTTTGTCTAGCAGGCAGGGAGCCCTGGGCCTGCTCTGGGGTCAGCCCCAGAATGGCCGTGACTTCCTCTCTCCACCTGGTCTCATTCTATCCTTGATGCCAGGGCCAGTGCTGAACCCCCTCGCTGCCCCTGTATGCCCCGCAGGGAGAGCCCCCCAGCTGGCCAGAAGACCCCAGACAGCGGGCACGTCTCCCAGGAGCCCAAGTCGGAGAATTCATCCACGCAGAGCTCCCCAGAGATGCCCACAACCAAGAACAGGTGGGGCCGCAGGAACGGTGAGCCAAGCTCCGGGGGTGCTGGGCTTCTCCCCAGCACACCGTGTGGGGCTTCCTGGTGTGTGAGTGTGTGTGTGAGTGTGGACAACAGCATGTGTGTGTGTGTATACAACAGCACTGGTGTGTGTGAGTGAGTGTGAGTGTGTGAGTGTGAGTGTTAGCAGTGACCTAACTGGGCACACACAGCCCCTGCTTCATAGTCCCGGCCATCTAACCTATTAAGCAGGGGACACTATGAAGGGTGACTGGGGATGGGTGGGGGTCAGATGGATGCTCAGAGAAGACATCAAAGAGGGGTGACGTTTAAATCAAGAGCCGAGCTAGGAAGTCAGCCCCATGGGGAGTGGCATGGCCGAGGGGGAGGGCGCCAGGTTAGAAGCACAGCAAGTGCACAGGCCCTGAGGCCTGCTTGGGGAATGGAAAGAAGGGCAGTGGGGAGGAGCTGGGTGAGCGGGCCCAGACAGACTCTGTGGTGGTGGTGGTGGGAATGAGGTGGGAGAGGTGAACAGGGCATCTGTCATGGTTCTGCGGGCCATGTGAGTACTTAGGATTTTATCCTAAATGTGACAGGAACCTCTGGAAGGTTTTCACTAAGGGAGTGATAATTTAAAGCACTACTATGATTATAGCAAGAGGCCAGCAGGGAAGCCGTCTCTCCATCCAGGCCCGCTGGCTGTGCCCCTTCTGTGCCAGTTCTGGGGGCATCAGAGGATGGCAGAGTAAGGCAGGCCAACAGACAGGGGCACAGAGACAAGGCAGGGAGGGCATTCCTACCTCGGGAGGAGGAATCAGGGAGGGCTTCCTGGAGTAGGGGCCCTTGGCTGATTTTTGAAAGGTAGTTTTGCTCTGTGGGGTTTGAGAGAAGTGAGACTCCAGGCAGGAGACAGCAAAGGCCCAGAAATGGAAACAAACCGTAAGGGGGTTGAGAGAGTAAACTGGAGTCTAAGGGCCCGTGTCCATGCTGGGTGACTTTGGGCTGTGTGCCCACCCTCTCTGAGCCTCGGTGTCTCCTCATCTGGAAGCCTCCTCTCAAATAGCAACGAGATAACTCAGGTAAAAACACTCAGGACAGTGCCTGGCCGAGCAGACACGTACTATAAGATGTCACTGTGGCAGTTACTGTCATGGACCTTCAGCCAAGGGAGTAGACTTCACGCGGGGGCCCCGAGAGGGATTTGAACAGGGGCCTCCTGGGCCACGCGCCTGGCCCACTGCCCTCCCTTGAGGCCCAGCTACCCCCAGCCACGCACCCAGTGGCCATTACGGCTCTGAGCCTCTCGGGGCCCAGGAGGCGCCCAGGGTGGGTGCTGGCTGACAGGACACTGTCCGTGGCAGAGCGGAGACGGCAGCCCAGCGAGCAGAGGTGCTGAAGGACTTCTCCCGTTCCTCGTCCAGCGCCAGCAGCTTCGCCAGCGTGGTGGAGGAGACGGAGGGTGTGGACGGGGACGATACGGGCCTGGTGAGAGGCCTGGGGCTGGGGTGCTCCACAGGGGCCCAGAGGGAGGTTCTTCGGGGCCTGAAGAAGCCTGAGCCCAAGCTCGGCTACATGTGATCAGGGGCCCAACCCAGAGGCCTAGTGCAGACGAGCCTCCTGCTGACACCCGCCAGCTCCTCAGTGCCCCCAGGAAGCCGGGCTCTGAGAGTCTGAAGAGCCGCCCTCCCTCCCTCCGGCCCTCCCTCATCTCTTACCTTTCCAGTCCTGCTCTCCTTCAGTGTCCCCCAACCCTTCGGGCTCACTCCACCTCTGGGCTTGTTCACCTGCCACCTGCCTGCCTCCTCTCCTCCTCCTGGACTCAGCCTCAGTCACCTCTTCCTGAAAGCCTCCCCTGCTTTCCTAGTCCTCCGGCTGGTTAGCACCCCCCTTCACCGCCCCCAACGCCTGGCTTTGCCCTGGCACCCCCTGTCCTCTTTACTCAGACCTTCAGTGGGGACTGAGTTCCTGCCAGGTTTGTCCCGGGGTGGGGCCACAGTTGCCACAGGCAGCGGCGCAGACCAGGCCTGCCCGGGGGCTTCCACTCGCCTCTTCCTGGTCTGCCCCCGCCTGGTTTGTCTTGCAGAACAGAGAACATCAACCGTGTCTGTTGACTGAATAAACGGGATTGCGTGGGGGCGCCTGGTCCGTGCCTGCTCCCCTCCCCTGTGCTCTCCCGGAGCAGACACTGCTGGGCCCCATTTTGGGCAAAGGGAGCAAGAGTAGGGGACTGGTTGCTGTTGAGTGCAGGGGCGCGAGGGGCGTCGAGGCCATGCATCTGGGGACTCACCTCTCTGTCTCTTCCACCCAGGAGAGCGTCTCGTCCTCGGGGACACCCCATAAGCGGGATTCCTTCATCTACAGCACGTGGCTGGAGGACAGCGTCAGCACGACCAGCGGGGGCAGCTCGCCAGGTACCAGGCCGGCAGCTTTCCCTGGGGGGGTGGGAGGGGGCAGGGGGCGCTCCTGCAGGAGAGCTCTGTGGTGGGGACAGTACTCGGGCCCTGGGGGTGGGGACATTATCCAGCTTGAGCTGGGTGGGCGGCCTCATGGCTTCTGGAGCAGATGGGGGATGGTGGGGGTGGAGAGGGGAGTTACAGGTGGGGTTCCCAGAGGGAGGGGCTTGGGGGATTGGGGAGTACCAGTGCCGACTGCCCACCCATGCCCCCGTCTTCCTGGTGCCTCCCCGCGGCCAGTGAGGTGGCTCCCTCCTGCCCCCCCCTCCAGGCCCCTCGAGGTCACCCCACCCAGACGCCGCCAAGGCGGGGGACCCTGCATGTCCCGAGATCAAGATCCAGCTGGAAGCGTCTGAACAGCACATGCCCCAGCCGGTAGGTTCCTTGGCCAGGGCCTGGAGGGGGGCGGGGCTGGGTCGGCCCTCCAGCGGGGCGTGGCCCTGACATCCGTTGCCCCTGTCTCTTGCCTGCCCTGACTGTGGTGCTGTCACCTGCCTCACCGCCCGCTGTCTGCTGTCCGCTGTCCGCTGTCCGCGCAGGGCTGTTAGCTGGGCCCCTCTGCTGCAGGCGAAGTGGAGCAGGTTAGACCCAGCCCTAGCTTTGCAGGCAGGGGGGCCTGCGCGGGCGGGGGTGGGGGTGGGCCACGGCTTCCCTGATCCTCTGCCACCTGTCGCTCCGTGTCTGGGGCGGCCTTCGACCCCTCGCCGGGCCTCCCTCTCCTGCTCTGTGCACCAGGCTGTAAAACACAGCCTCCCTCTGCCTCTGAGCCGCTGGGAGCCTGAAAGGGGCTGGGGAACTGCTGGGAGGGAAAGACCCAGAGCCTGGGCTCCCAGCTCACCCTTCCACCTGTCTTCCTGCTTGGAGGCAGCTCCATCTCCCTTTACCCTGCAGATGGGGCCTCAGAAGCACAAGGTGAAGCTGCTGTGTCAACTCCAGGCAGATGGACCTCTGCTTCCAGGCCAGCACCAGCCCCCGGGCTGCCCTTCCCCCACCCTCCCCTCGGCCCTCCCAGCTGGGCTCTCTCTGCAGGGCAGAACCGTCCAGACCCACCCGGGAGCCAGGAGCTGCTGGCATCATCCCCACCCTTGGGCCGGGGGCCAGGCTAGGGCAGGGAGTGGTCAGTGGTTTGCCCCCACTCTGGCTCCTCCATCTCTCCCAGGTGCACCTCTGGACTCAGGGGGTAGTAAGCTATTCAGTGCGCGCAGAGCTGCCGTGGATGCAGCGGGGTGCGAGTGCAGTGGGTGAGCTCTGGGCGATGGCGGAGGGCACCCTCCTGTGGGGCTCTGGGCACCCCTGTCGGGGTGCCTCTGCTGTGGAAGGATGGATTGTTTGAGGTCACTGAAGACTGTGGTCCCCAGGACCTGCACCCGATGGGGCACTGTTCTCCCGGGGCCTCCCATCACACCACCCTGCTTTTGGGGTCTCTGGGGCTCCAGGTGGGTTGAGAGGTGGGTGTTGATTGCCTGTCGCCTCGCCTGGACCCCACGTTCTACCACAGATCTGCCAACACCCCATCCCCTGCCTCCACACAACGGACAGGTGCCCCTCACGGGGAACCACCTGGCTTCTCAGCAGCACCCAGCGTGGCCTCCCATGCTCCTGGGCGCTCTCAGCTCGCGGGTCTCAGCTGGCTGGAGTGGCCACTCGCCTCCATGGCCCCTGCCCCAGCGAGGGCAGCCAGGCCCAGCGGCTGAGGCCACATCTGTGTGTCTGTCCACACTTTTTAGGCACCACGCCGAAGGCCAGCCTTCCAGCCCCAACACCCATTTTGGAAGCCCCCGTGGCCGTGTGTATGTCGGTGACAGTTGTACAAAATAAATTCTATTTATCGCTATTGTACCCCCAGTTGGACCTGGCTTTGCGTGACCCCAGACAGGTTTCAGTGGTCACGGTGGGGGGAAGCCCAGCCCCTCCCCCATTGGAACTGCTGTCTGGGCACCTCCAAGGCCAAAGCGCGGCTGCACACCAGCGGGGCCTTCCGCATGGCCCGCTTCCTCTGCCCGCGCCCCTCCCTGAGGGAGGACGCGCTGCAGTCCCGCAGTGCGAGGCCTGAGTCTGGCACCGTGGCCAGGTGTCGCTGGAAAACAGGCTAGCTTCTTCCAGCCGGTTTCCACTTCCCAAGATGGAGCACTAGTGACGCTCATGAGGGTTTCCCACCCTGGCTCCCCTGCAAGGGGGTCAGTGTTGTGTGGAGGCTCTGGACGGGGTGTTGGTGCTGGTGACCTGCGGGCTCCCTGGGCGCTCAGTGATTGGTCCTCTTAGCTCAGTGAGGACGCTCCCCCATCGGGCCGCCAGGGGGCGCCGAGGGACCGCTTACCGGGCCGACAGGGCCGCCGGCTGAGGGGAGAGCCCCGAGGGCCGGGCAGCTGCAAACACAGCTGATGAGTGCAGGGGCTGGGTGAGGGAGGCTGGAGAGGACACCCGAGCATGGGGCCTGAGCATCCGGGAGGCTTCCGCAAGGGCCCCGGGGAGAGGGAGCTGCAGGTGCAGGGCGCGTGGGGTGGGGAAGGCGCTGGAATGGGGACAGCTGTGTGCCTGCAGGCACAGGGAGACGGCCCCATCGGCCAAGGGGCACCTGCCGGTAGATGCCAGGCCTCGAGGGCGGGCTTGGCTCTGCAGGGCAGTAGGGTGCTCCATGCGGGAGGGCAGTGTCCACACAGGCACGGAGGACCCAGGAGGCCGTGGCCAGGACAGAGGGTGGCTCGGAGGCCCCTGGCCAGCCTGGAAGGTGCTGGGGCCTGATGGGAGGGGGGCTGAGGGAGGTGTATGAGGGGGACCTCTCAGGGGTCTCCAGCCTGGGCCCTGGGAGACTGAGCGGGACGCCTCTGTGGTAGGAGCACAGGAGGCAAAGCAGGTTGGGGTGGCTTTGGAGGCCACTGGCCTTGGGAGTGGCCATGGAGCTGAGGCCCACTGGGTCAGTCATGTTTGGCCTCCCCAGGCTCACAGCCGCCCTGCTCCCTCCTCTAGCTTTCCCTCAGCCCCCCCTCTCCCCTAGGATGATGCTGGGGTCTGGGAGAGCCACAACTTGCCTGAGAGGACCTCTGTCCCCTCAGCATCTCTGGCCACCCAGGAACTCAACGCAGCCCTAAGCCCCATGCTCAGGCTGCCCTGGGCTCAGTGGTCCCCTACTTCCTCCTCCCCATCACTCAGCCTCACCCCTGGTCTCACCCCTCACGGTCCCCACTCTGGTCCGTGGCTCTTCAGTCCTCTACCCAGTGTGCCTCCCTCTCTCCCCACCAGATGGCCAGCGGCCACTGTTCAGCACCAAGGCCAAGAGCTTCCGCTGAGTTCATTCCCCTCCCGGGTCTGACTCGGCCTGTGATTTCAGCTCTCTGAGCTTTAGCTTCCTCATCTGTATGTGGGCACCTGATGTGTGGGTTCGCTGAGGGGGCCCCTCAGACATTCTTGGTGTAGCCCTGGCACCTGGTGGGCTTGAGAAACTGTCAGGCTGCGTAGCCATCAATGGGCCCACGTCTGTTACCCACCCCGAGGCCCAGGGTCCACTCTGCAGTGAAGGTGGAGACGGGTGTTGAGGTGAGGTTTTGGCGGGAACACAGCTGCGTCCCAAGCCTCAGCCCCTCGCTCTCCTGGGGTCCACGCTGCTTCCCTGTGAGGCTCGGGTGCCCTGCTGGCCGCTGTCCTTCGCTCTGAGCACCCCACCGCACAGCCCTGGTCTGCAGCGGAGCTCCAGCACTGGGGTTCGCTGTGGCAAAAGCAGGTGGGCATCTGGGCAACCCGCCCCTCTGCCTGCCAGGTCGTGCCAGTGCCCGTCTTCGGGATGGATGGGCCTCCGCTGGGTTTCTGTCTCCCCCACCCCACCCCACGGCCCTGCGGGCCCCCAGGTGGGGCCCGGGGAGCTGAGGACGAACCTGCTTCCGGATCAAAGTGCCCAGTGAAGTTTCTCTTGTGCCCGTGCCAGCCCCGTGCTCACACTGGGCTCTGAGGCGGGGAGGGCGAGCCGGGACACTGACCGAGGCTGGAATTAGGCTGGGCGGGGGGCACTCGGCTCCGAGAAGAGCTGGACTCTGCTTAGAAATAACTTTGGTGGTGGACACGGCAGCCAGGGGTTCCTCCAGACATAGGAGGCGGGAGGCCTCCCATGGAGGGACCTGGGTGCCCGGCTGACCTGACCCCACCATCTGCCCAGCCTTGGACCTGGCTCTCTCTCCAGGTCTCGGTCTCCTCACCTGTAGACTGGAGACAAGGCCCTCCCAATGCTGGAAGACGCTGGAAGACGACCTCTGAGGTACCTACCATAGAACCCACACCCAATATGAGCCCCTACCCCCATGGTGTCCCTGAATGCCCATGACACTGGCGGGGCCCAGCCCCGCCCAGTGCCAGGAGACTGGGACCTGGATGTTCTCTGCCACTCAGGCCACAGGGGACCCTGGAATGTGGAGGTCCCTCCCTCTCCACACCCGCCTTGCCAAAGGGACAGCCAGGGATGGAGCCTCCTGAAATAGCCAGATCTGGTCAGCGAGGCTAATTTTAAAAGCCACTCTGGCTGCCCCATAGGCCCTTCTGGGAAGCCATGAATGTCGCTGTGTTTGCCCCTGAGAGGCAGGGCAAGGGGAGGTTGGCAGGGGTGGGCTCCCACCCACCACTGCCAGGGCCGGAGACCCCAAGTTTTTTCCCAGGTTGGTCCAGGACTCAGAGCCTCAGGCCCAGTGTTGGGGCTCAGATCAGCCTCTGCACTGACTCAAGCAATCCTTGGTGGGCTGCAAGGCCGCCCCTCCCCCTGCACCCATCTCCCTGAAGCAGGTCTGGGCAGGGCCTCCCTGTCTTGGCTCTCCTGCCCGCCCGCAGATACCTGCCCGCCGTGTCCCTTCACTGCTTTGTCTGCTTCTGGCGCGGGTCCCTGTACAGCTATGGCTCTGTCCCCCCACCCTGCCGCAGGCCAATGGTCTATAGATCTGCCTGTCGGGGGTTGTTCACCTGGGAACTAGGGTTGCGGTGGGGGGGGTGACCTGGTGGGGGGTGACAGTCGGGGGGCCCTCTGTGGGCGGGCAGGGGCCATGTCCAGACATGATGTGGTCCATCTGGTCAGGCCAGATGCCAGCAGAAGAAATGAGCTTGGTGTAGGGTTGCCAGATTTAGCAAGTAGAAACACATGGAGCCCAGATAAATTTGAATTTCAGATAAACACGGAATAATTTTTCGTTTAAGTATACCTCGTGCACTACTTGGGACCTACTTATAAAAAAAAAAAAAAGACTCCTTGTTTATCTGAAATTGGAATTCAGCTGGGCATCCTGTATTTTCTCTGGCAGCCCCCACGGTGAGGCTGCCAGAGCAAGTGAAAGTGTTTCTCGGGAATGGCAGGTCTTAGAGATGGTGAGAACCCCGGCCTGGAGGGATGTCACACGCATGGCCTGGGAAAGTCCCGTCTCCTGGGACAGGCACAGCTCCTGCTCACAGGGACTTTTGGTTTTCTGGCGCTGAGGTCAGTCCTTGAGAGCACGGTGAGGTCACGGACCCGTCCCCTCCTCCACGGGCCTGCAGGCCTGAGAAGGAAGACCCTGCGAGTTCTCTGCTGGGCCCCATGTCGAACCCAGGCCCGGCACGTAAAGGGGGCTCTATAAATACTGAATGAAGGGTGGGGTGGGGGCCGTGGCTAGTGGGGGCCTCGACCTCCTGAGCCCCTAGGACTCAGCTGGAGTGTTGTCCCCAGCTTGGGGCTTCCCAGATTGAGCTATGGAGGGGACGGAGGGAAGAAGCCACCTTTTCCCCTCTCCCGTCACCCACTAGATGGGTGCTCAGCCTAGACAAGGGTCAGGTGGCGGCGGGAACGGGGCCGGCAGCTCTGACCTCCGGTACTGGGAGGCTGACTGGGACTAGGTGGAGTGACCAAAGGTGTGCAGCTGCTCTCCTTCGTGGGGGCATTTGGGCAAGCTGGGGGGAGTCTCGGGACCCAGAAAGTTCAGGGTCCCTTGTTCTGGGAGCTGAGATTTGGGTCTTTTGTGATTCATTCATTTCGGGGCTCTCTCTGGATAGGGCAGCTAGGAAGAGACCGAGGGCCTCCCCCTGCCTCCCCAAGAGCAGACTACCTTCAACAGCTTTTCCATTCATTCATTCACCTGCTAACTCCCCCATCATCACCACTGGCTGAAGTGCCCCGCCCCCTTGCGCTGAAGGGCTTTATAGCTGGCCAGCCCTACCACTGACATACCTGTTTCAGTACCTACTCAGCCTTTGGCTTCAGAGTGACCAGTGGTCCCCTCAGATGAGATGCCCCCCTCGGTCACCCAGTGCCCAGGCTGGAGACCCTGAGGTCCCCCTCATACACCTCCCTAAGCCCCACCTCCTATCAGGCCCTTCACCTAGATATTCAGGCTCCCAGCACCTTCCTAGCGTCCCTCATCCCAGCCACGGCCTCCTGCGTCCTCTGCCCCTGTGTGGACACTGGCCTCCCGCATGGAGCACCCTGCTGGCCCTCCTATGGCTGCTTGTAGGGAACATAGAGAGGCTCAACTCTTGCCCACCTCTGCAGCCACCACCTGCAGCCTTGTTTCCTTACCCACATGTGATTCTGTGTTGGTGGAAAAAGCACTAGGGAGCGCAACAGGGGGTGTCCAGGGGTGCGTCAGGCACGCGCCAGGCAAGGGACTGAAGAGACCGGCTCGAAGGCATCGGCTCGGACGCCCTGCTAAGAGATCATCGCAAGGGGGAGACCGAGACAAGCCAGAGAGACCCAGAGAAGGCGGACACCACAGGGCTGGGGGCGAGGGCTGCACCCCTGGGCTGCTCGTCAAAGTCTGTTCCCCGATTCAGAGGAGCCGTCTCTCGAGGGCAAAGGGCGCCATCAGGCTCTGTGCGCAGCCCTCCCTAGTGTGG